TTTTTTTTTCTTTTTTTTCTCGTATCCCTTCTTGTTGCGATTTTAAATACATTACGACCATTCGAGTAAAGAATTTAGCTCTACTTAAAACTTTCTTCTTCATGTCTTGGACTAAATACAAGTATTTTTTTAATTTTTCATAGCCATTCTTATTTTCGATATTTCAAGTCTGTTTAAATAACGCCATACGCTAAGAATAAATATTTTTTTAAAATTATTAGAGCATAAAGGGAACAAAAATAATACTTGCGAGTGTCACGAAGGGATTAACCGTTGAAAGTTACAATTTTAATGTGCGTTCGATTTTTTCTCTCATCATTTATTCAACGGATGATCAAAGTTCAGAAGAAACTATAAAAGAAAAGTTGAACGATACGAACAGCTTTTACGATATAATCATAAAGAACAGAAGAACTTGCATGTGTTAAAATATTTTATTATATCAAATATTGTAAAATATTTTACACGATGAAAAAAAAAAAAAAAAAAAGCAAGGGAAGCGTATTGCACCTGCACCTTCTAGTTAGATGTGTCAGGCACACCATACACTAGTATCGCTAATAACCTTGTTTAACGGCTCTTAATAATTCGGAAGCGTATGCTTAACCCAAATTCACAACTTCCGCGAATTCTACTCTAAACAGGCAAATTGCGAAGATCATTCTGCGAATTCTTTTAATTTTGCTTACATGAAATATCCTCGCCATCCTGTCCACTGTAATTTTCTACTTTCCGATTGCTTTTTTATCGCTGTAAACCTAACCTAAACCTAACCTAAACCAAACTTTATCGCACATTGCAGTTGTAGCGGGAAGGTGTTCATTTAACAATTTTTTATTATTTCCAGTGAACGTGGCAGTAATTTGTTGCTGTATATATTTTTCGAATAATAGTGTCTGCATATGCGACCGCTGAATAAAGTTGAATTCTTTATCCTGAATTAAAGAATAAAAAAATTCCGAAGGAAATAAAAAAACTACATCGATCGAAGGATGTAAGTTTTTTTCAAAGATCATTGTATTGTATAAAAAACAAATCGATATTCAAGATGCATAAAGTAATTATTTATATATTTTATTACTCATAGGATTAATAATAAAATTTACTTTAAAAATTAATCATATACACGGTATGCATGATACAAGAAAAAAACTTACGAATTATTATTAAATATATTATTAAATATGATTATATACATTTCAAGAAACTGATACGATTTTTGGTTCATTTTTTTATTTTATATATATATATAAAATAAAAACTTGAACTTCAAAATCAAATTTTAGTGTTAAATAAAATGTGTAACTCGTATATATGTAGATACATCTTTATTAAATCTCATCGTTTTAATCTTAATATTCGATTGATCAAAAGAATCTACAAGAATTTCTGATTTTCTACATGCGTGTGCACGTAATTCATTATAACCAAGTAATGTAATTCCTTCAATTAACGTTCGTCAACGTTATTTAACAACGAACACCAATTCCACCCATTCGCGGTTATTCATCATTACTCCGCTATCGTAACCATATATAAATTTTATGTTTTGTTAAAACGCACGTATATATTTCTAGAAAATAATTATTGAATTCATGTGTCACATATTTTTCATGAAAGAAAATTTAAAAAAACTTGTAAAACGAAGCGGGATCTATTAGTGTTTTGTGAGAAGAAGAAGTCGATTAAACGGAAAACATAGATAACGCATTGAACTACCGAGATAGTGAACTGAATGCGAGTATTGCGCGCGAGATGCTTAATGCGACGCGTCCGCTGTTTCTCGACGCGATGATGTCATAACTTAAAACGTAAAGCTCGCTATCGTTACTCGTTGGGTGATACTACCGTTTATCCGGATACGATGAATACAATCATCGTATTCTATGCCAACGGTATATTAACAGATGAAAAAGTCACATCCTTTTTTAAGCATAAATTTAGTGCGAATTCGATGTCCATCATTAATGGTAAACCTAACTTTCAACGAAACAATAATTCGGATAGCGGTGCTATTAAAGAAATAAACAAGACTTGAAAATAGAAAATTTCTATTCTGTTCAAGCGGACGCGTTTTAATAAATCAGAAGCTGAAATTCAAGATGAATTACCAAACGCACAGGTAAGCGTGCGCCTTCTATAGAACCGAAACTCGAGAGCAGCAAGTTTATTTCCAAGCGACGATAGATCGCGCGCGGGCGGTCCGGAGTTATTATAAGAAAAAAAGGACATTCACAATTATGCAGCAATCCATTGACACCTACATATTAAATAATGCCTTTCGCGGTAAAATTGGTGATGATTTAAGACTTTTATTTAAGACACTTGTCTACATGAGTATATATATGTATATACACATTATACTGTCATAAGGACGTTGAGACGAGCTCAGCGTATGGTTATTCGTGTGAATACGCCCAAATGACCATTGCATGTATGTATGTCAATTTATCTTGTACAAACAAACGCAAGCAATTTCTTAGACAAACAAGCACGTATCTACGACATTCAGAAGTAAATTTAATGACACAAAGAAGAATTATTTTGTATACTAGTTACACCTGAATTTCTTTTGACTTAACAATATATTAGGTCCAAAAGTAATGATTACATATAATTAATAGAAAGATACTGACTTTCGTTTCATGTTCAAATGCCGGCACACTTGCTTATCATTGTAAAGATAATCTCTATATAGAACATCAAAATAAAATCAGCTCTCAAATTCACGAAATGAATACAATTTTTACTACTTTCATCTCAATGGTTCCCGCCGGTCTAAATACTATGTATATGTAATATTATGAAACATTGTGTCAAATGAAAGAAGAGTACTAAAACATTACTGGCATCATGTTTGAAGTTAAATTTTCATTTAAAACTCAATGTTTTACATGAATATAGGGAGAAAAGAAGGTCAATGGTTTAACAATGCAAATGGCGATACAGCAATGGTGAGTAATGGTTTTCAATGGCGCAATTATGACAGCAAGTATCTTGACAGTGACTATTGATGTTTTTTTTACTAAATACTTCAAAACTGATGGAAAATACAACTGACAGGGTTTTAAGAGAGTGCATTGTTGAAAAACGTTTTACAAATGTGCAAGGAAATACTCGAGATTGCACTGCCCAATCGACGACTCGATTCTATTCGACTCGACACGGCACGACACACCCCTTACGCTACGTCATTCTTGTCAATTATTCCGAACCACGTTCTCTTGTATTTTAAGCGGTAGAACTTTCCAAGTGATCCATATTTACAACGATACTTTTTATCATTAATCGCTGAAGAGACTTACCTAGCACAAAATCGGCAACTATCGTCGATGATCGATATATCCGTATTCGTTTGGGGAACCGTTCGACTCGCTGTTCGTATCACCGAGCGGTCGTTCCGTTCGGTGAACAGCTTCCCCGCCCCCGTCGCCGTCGATGCTCTTCCGGCGGCTGGCAAACCTTCCCCAAGCTACCTCCACCTCCTAGTAGCTTCTCTCCTACTACCACCACTACTATTCCAACCACCACCACTTGCACTTCTTCCACTTCCACTGCCACCTCTATCTTCTCCTCTCTCTTTACTTTCGTTGCACCCACTTCAAGCTTTATATCTCTTTTTCTCCTTGTATATCCACCAACCAATTCTTTTCAACCAATTCTACTTTTTTAACCTACGCCTTTGTTAATTTATTTAGTTTAGTATTCATGTTGGTTATTTTCGTACTTGATCTCCTTTCGAGCACGTAGAAGAGTTCAGTTCTCGTAAAAAAATCTATCTAAACTTGGTTATCAGTGTGATATCTCGTCTCCGTTTCTATCTTGCTCCGCATTCCTGCTTTTTTCCTTCAACTAATTATACAACGGGCACGCGGATTGTGCGCACAATACCACTGCGCAACCGATCTACAAAGCTTTAACAGCAATCCAACGAGAAATCGCTTCTCGAAATTATACCATCTGATTGGTTAACTTTTAAGTTACCGTCCAATCAGGATGTTCGAGTTTTATACAACCAATGACATAATACGTATTGTACGTATTTACTGGAAATTATCGAAAGTCGATATGCCACGATTAATCGAAAATGTTTTATATATTTTATGTTTTGCGGCAATATAATACATTTTAAATATTTTGCCATATATGATAATTTTTCATATTCATTTCATAAATTTAAAATTTTACTCACCACATATCAATCACAAAATAATAAAATACTGGTTATTATTGCAAATTACTCTTGATACTTTCTTTTCAGTCTGTATGTACAATGATTATAATAAGCAATATTTTGCAGCTTAACCTTAATGTAATATATAGTCCTCAAAATAGCAAACAATGCATTCCGCTTTCAATAAATTATTATTAAATAGAATTAATTATATCAATGAATGTTTGATATTCTAATATTATTCGTAATTTGAATATTGGCATTGAATAACTGAATTAAGACGTTTCCGGTCATAAGCAAATCAGCGGGCAATAAACTAGGCCTCATACTATGAGGCTCGTAGTAGTATAACGGATAATGTAGTAGTAGGGATTGCCGTCTTAAGGAGCATTATATAGTCATCTTACAGTTAAAGCTGCTCGAGCAGTCTTATGGTTATAACGATAATAAATGTCACTGTCTGTAATTTTGTTCTAACAATAAGTATCGTCTGAGCTCTTATGCTTGCCAAGGGGCAAACTCCAGCACTGACAAGAGACGCTATTTGATTGGTGATATACAAATCATAGATTTTTTTCAGATGATTCAAAAGACTGTATCATAAAATGCAAGAAAATATTTAAAAAAAAAGTATAGGAGTTAGATTCATTTTTCGTTACTATATTCTTTTTTGTAATGAATCGGAGCGAGTTTAATGATTATTTAAATGGTTAGTACTATACAGGATGTTCTAATAATCATGATGCAATTGGGAGAAAGTAAGTTGAAAATATAAAATAATATTTCTTTTATATGATGCTTCGTTTTCAAGCGATACTAATTTAAAAAAACACGATTTCCAAAACTGTTTGAAAATAAACAGAAGGTCATTTGGAACGAAAAACAAGTTTATTCATGATTACAAGAATTCCCATCCGAAGTTCATTTAAAGAATAAATAGACTTGTATTCTAAACCGATTGAGAGTGATATTTTTTAAAAATGTTTTTGTAAGTTTCGTAACGGATGTACATATAAAGAGCTAATATTATTCCACCATCAATTGAATAGCATTAGTTAGAAAGTTAATAGAAGGTTAAAGTTACATCGATAAACACGCGCAAAAAGTTCAATTGTTTATAAATGGAACATGATTTCAATCCTAGATTTAATTGGATTCAATTCGTAAATAAATTGATATCTCAGTCAATCACATATTGTTGAACAGAAATTTATACACATGATTTCTATGCTTCTTTTTATATTGCTTATTTTTTAAATTAAATTTCATATTTAAATTTTAAAATATTTTTGTGAACAATGATAAGAAAATTTATGAAAATTTTACGTTAAATTCTCTAAATTATTACCTAAACTTAACATAATTTTGGTCTAGAAATTGAGATAATTATTTATAATATGTATATATGTATAATATGTATTTACATATTAATATATACATATATACATACACGTCATCATATATATATATATATATACATACACGTCACATTCTGTAATTAAAATATATGAAAATAGTAACTAATAAATAATATTGAATAAATGTAACTATAAAAATAGAAATTGACGTTTCCTAACTTTGATAGACGAGCTTTTTCTTTATTTTTCTTGTTATATAAGAACCTGTTTGATACTTGTGTGTGTGTAGGATCAACTGGTAGAAGCAACAGATATGTATGATGTTCCTATTCAGTCAGTAATACAGTCTTTGATCTGGTGTCTGATCGACAACACGCTCATTTTCTATTCTTTTATTCTTTTCTATTTTCTACTCAAATTATTAAATTTTTATGAAGTATTTGATAAATAGCATATCAATTTATAGTTTTCCAAATATTTACGAAATTAAATTATAATTTTAAAAAGTAGAAAAAATGAATTTATTTAGACCATCGATAAAACAGGTACGTACAGTGTTTATATGTCTTTCGTGTGTTGTTAATAATAATAGTGATTAAACAATTTTTAATTAATAGTTTTAATAATTAGAGCGAAAGGAAGAAGTAATATAAAACATTGGTGATGTGGCATGGAAGATTTGAAATTTGACAAAATAATTTTTTGAAGAAACTATTAACATGATTATTATCAGATTTTAGATGTTTATACATTTATGAAAAATTTAAAGGTGCGAAAGTCCGCGGAATGTAAACGAATTCAAAAATATATAAAATATTGCGTTCGTTATAATATTTATACGAGTAAAATAAAATCTCTATCTGATTGTTTTTTTTTTTTAATTTTTTATAAACTCCGTAGTTTAACTATTACTGTCAAATTTCCTTTTCGCACTCCTTCTTTTTTATAATAATGCAATTTTCGCACGTTGATTCCTAATACTTTTTCATTTCATTAGATTTCTTAAAACGTTATAGAACTTAACTTTATACATTAAATTTTCGAATAAATGTTTTTATTTATATTAGTCAAACACCGTTTTTTTTTTTTGAAAAAATATAACTTGCGTTCTAATATACATATTCAAAATTCAAACGAGTCCGATAAAACGAATTTTCAGATATTACAAAAAATGTACAACAAAAAACTTCATTTGGCTACTTATGTAGTACGATTACATCATTGTCCCGGACCTGTAACTCAACTTTCAGAAGAAGAACTTTTGATGAAAGAAAGTGGTAACTGTCGTTTAATGTTCTCTGCAATTTAATAAATTGTCCACATAATTATTTCATATGCTTTTTATTTGCAAAATTTCTCAGTTGCTAAATTAGCGAAAGAAGAAATTGCACCGCTCGTGCAAAAAATGGAAAAAGAAGGGAGAATAGACGATGGATTGTTACGAAAGCTTTTCGAAAATGGTGTAAGTTCTCTATTTATCATTGTAATAAATGATACCAATATGTTTAAAGTGAAACCAATTACTATTAATAATTAATATGAAACATTCGTGTTTTTAAATTTTTATATTTCTTATTATCACATAACGAATTTGATCAATCTATCGGTAGTTAATGGGCATTGAAGTACCGGAAAAATACGGTGGTTCTGGATGTAATTTCATGACAACAGTTTTAGCTGTTGAAGAAGTTGGCAAAGTATGTGGATCTGTAGCAGCCCTGGTCGATATTCACAATACTTTAGTGAACTCATTAGTTACGAAAGTTGCCACGGAAGAACAGAAAACAAAATATCTACCAAGATTAACGCAACAGCATGTACGTAAACAGATAATGTATAATAAATTTTGATAACGCTTTAACAACATTAAATTTATACACAAAAATTTACATATGTACAAGGTGGTCCATTTAAGTTATGTCACTTAAATATCTCTTTAAATTGTAATAATGTAAAAAATATTTTTTAAATTGTATCAAAGGACTGACATCTGGCAAAACTATTTTATTATAATATTATAATATAATATCAATACAATAGTAATATAGTATGTGTATGTATGCATGTATGTATGTATGTATGTGTATG